CACAGTCCCTATGATCACTGTTACGTTGCAATTATGGCTTTATTTTTTGGTGATTTCGAAACCGTTTTTTGGTTTGGACATGTTTGTTTTGTTGTAGTACGGAGTTAGACTGATGGCCTTAATCTAAGTTTTCTTGTTGTTCATATTCTTAGCTCTTTCGGTAAAGTCACGTTGAAGGGAAACAATAAAATAATAAAATATATATAAAATAAAAATTCTCACGACGTTTCGACCATAACACAAACGGTCGTCATCAGGTGTGTCGGTTTGCATAAATGTATTTATTTTTAAACGGTGTATTTATTTATTTATCCTGCGTCCTTTCACTAGAAAAAACACCTCTGCGGTACAAAATTCTACTCACCTGGTATCGACAATCAAGTGTATTTCCCTGTCCCCAGACGACCTGCTTGTCAGTTTTGATGCAGTTTCCTTATTCACCAAGGTTCCTGTACCTGACACCATCGCAATCATTGAAGACTTGGTTCATCAAGGACTAAACACTGAGGTACCCCCCCTGGTGAGACACTGTTTAACCAATACATACTTCACTTGGAATGGAACTTTCTACAAACAAACTGAGGGTACCCCAATGGGCTCCCCCCTATCTCCAGTTATAGCTAACATTTTCATGGAGAAATTTGAGACTGACGCCATCCAGACTGCCACTCTGCGCCCAACCTTATGGAAGAGGTACGTGGATGACACTTTTGTCATCTGGCCGCTTGGCCAGCCTGCTCTAGACCAATTCTTCGACCACATCAATTCCATACACCCAGCCATCAGATTTACCATGGAAGTCAAAAAAGATGGCAAGCTACCTTTTTTGGATGTCCTAATTAAAAAGAGACCTGATGGTTCAATGAGCCACTCTGTCTACAGGAAAGCTACCCATACGGATGCTTATCTGAAACCGGATTCCCACCATGATCCATCACAGAAGAACTCTCTCAAGACTCTGTATCATAGAGCCCAATGCATATCCGACCAGGAACATATAGGCAGTGAACTCAAGCACGTACACCAAGCTCTTAAGGCTAATGGTTACTCCGACTATACAATCCGCAAAGCTATCACTCAAACCATGAAGAAGGACCCTCTTGAGGAGCCTTTCAAAACCATCACTTTACCCTACATTGCGGGGATCACAAAAAATATCTCCAAAATCTTGAATAAACACAAGATCCAGGTCCATTTCAACACATTACATAAAATCCGTGATCTGGTTCCGTCTGTAAAAGATGTGTTTCCGGACATACAGTACCCTGGTGTCTACAAACTAAGTTGCCTCTGTGGTAGTAATTACATTGGAGAAACCAAACGCCATGTCTTGGACCGCATTCGTGAACACAAAGCAGACCTTAAACACGGTAGGACCAACACCTCGGCCGTGGCAGATCATTGTTATAATTCAGTAGGCTCACATGACATTGACTTTTCCAAGGCAAAGGTTCTTTTGTAAGCCATCTGGCTACCATTAGAGATTCGTTCATGAGGCTATCCACATATACAAGCACAGAGACAATTTGAACCGAGAAGATGGATTCTGGCTTAGCAATCATTGGAAAGATTTGATAAACCATTTCAGGTCTTAATTGATTGTTCACGCTTACAGTGGCTTTCAGACAGCATACATTAATTTTTCGTCTCCCCCCTCCTCTTTTCAGAACATAGATGGACTAGTCCTTCTAAATAAACTGCCAAATCGCTGCGTGTGGCGCTGACGTTTTTTTCATAAATAAATACACCGTTTAAAAATAAATTTATGCAAACCGACACACCTGATGATGACCGTTTGTGTTATGGTCGAAACGTCGTGAGAATTTTTATTGTTATATATATATTATTATTTTATTGTTTCCCTTCAACATGACTTTACCGAAAGAGCTAAGAATATGAATTACTGCAGTCACGAAAGCTTTAAATCAAAATTTCTTGTGGTTGTTGTTTGACTTGCATCCCACTGGAATTTTTTGCACAATGTTGGTGTACGGTGCTTTTTTCAGGAATATTTTGCTGTTTTTTTCATGGATTTTCTGTTTGCACAGTCATATCGTCACTTTAAGATGTTTTCTTGTTCGTGTTTTTGTTTTTTGCTGTTGCACCCGATTCAAGAGCCGAATGGCTCACAGGGCTACACCAAAATACATGAACTGAACTGAACTACCTCGCCAGGTATGCAGGAGGTCGTGGGTTCAATCCTGACCCTGACGATGCCTGCTGCATACTTGGAGCTTGCATGTTGTCTCCCCGTGGTCACGTCGATTTTTCTCCTGGTTCTCTGGTTTCTCTTCGCATTTAGAATCAACATGCGTTTTGAGTATTTGGCTGCTAAACATTTCCACATAAGACACTAGCGCTGAACGATCATTTGTGGCCAGGTCGCTAATGAAAAAGAGCTACATCACTCAGTGGGCCTTACCTGGTTAAATGAAAAAAAGTTTTCGTTTATTACATACGGTGGTCAAACCCCGGCACGATGCAGACTCAGGCGCCAGTTCTACACAGAGTATGCCGCCCACTCAGTCGGCTTTCCTACGCACTCCGGTACTTTTTAAAATGGGTGATAACGGGGAATCTTCTTTGGTTCTTTCGGTAAAGTCACGTAGAAGGAGAATAAAATAATAAATTGATAAAATAAAATAACACAATAATATTCTCACGACGTTTCGGCCACAACACAAGCGGCCTTTGACTGTCCTACCAGACAGTCTCGTCCCTTCACCTGATGAAGGCCGCTTGTGTTGTGGCCGAAACGTCGTGAGAATATTATTGTGTTATTTTATTTTATCAATTTATTATTTTATTCTCATTCTACGTGACTTTACCGAAAGAACCAAAGAAGATGAATCATTGCAGTCACGAAAGCTTTAAATCGAAAGATAACGGGGAAGTTCAGTGCTCAGTGATAAAAGGGAAGGTAAAGTGAAGGTCAACAGTGAAGGTCAAGGGAAGGTAAAAAGGAATGTAAAAGGGAAGGCCATTCATAAAAGGATAAACGGGAAGCTCAGTGATAAAATGGAAGTTCATTCATAAAAGGGAAGGTCAGTGATATAAAGGAAGATGAAGTGAAGGTCAAGGGAAGGTCAACAGTGAAGGGCAACAGTGAAGGTCAGTGTTCGTCTGATTATCATGGTGTCCCTTCACCTTCAGATTTCTTGCAGTAATTTCCCCGATTTAACTGCAAATGTGCAGTCCAAGTAAGCCAGGAAGTACGAAGAATCAATAACTTTTTAAACACCATTATTGTACTTTATATATGATTGGTAGTTGATTAAAATGCTATTTATATTCATAACTATGAAGAGTTGCGTATCGGACACCCTATTATACCATTGTTTCTCTGTGAAAAAACGGTCTCGATTTACGTTGTTTTGACTTCCTGCACCTTTTCTAGGAATGTAACTTGACGGAGGTGAGAGGCCCTCTGGTATTGTGGAGCTTACACCACTGACCAGCAGTACATCACATTTTTTATTCTTAGTTTAAAATTGAAAAGATTCGATTTTTTAAGTTTCCGAAAGATGTTCTAATTTGTCTCGGCACAACGTTTGGGAGTTTGTCACCAGCACGGGTGTTGAACTTCTTTCGCACCGTACGTAGACAAACGTGCTAATAGGCGGAACGCTTCAAATGCTTTGTTTTTCTTCTACTTTGCATATGGATCGGGAGCGAATGCAAGTCTTAAACGTCGTTTTATAGCCACCCAGTGCGATTAAAAACACGTAAAGGGGCGTTTCTATTCGGTCTCTGAATGGGACATATCAAGCCGTGGCGGAGAGCGAGAGGCAGATAGATTGTTGCCTATGGAGGTGGCATTAGAATATGTTCATCCAATATAGTAAGTGTAATTGAATGCATTCATTTTTAATAAAGGATATTGAGATTGTCAATGTTTTGTTGTTGGCAATAATGATACCATGCTTAGGAAAAATAATTAAAGTAATGCATTTGTTATTTTTATATCTTACATCAACATTAGCGGTATTTTTTCAGCACGTAGTTCCATCTTTGTAAGTAACTGCAAAAAGATATACATAATATACATTGACCTTTGTCCCAATGTACTTGAATCAACTTTGATGCGGCAGGTTGCGCAAGGCGGCTGCAGGAGTAACACTCAGATTTGATTGGAGCATTTTAGTTCCGTTCATGGCAATGGCGAGTTGCTATCACGAGGCGACAGTCTCGACCGTACCGTGGCGCCGATCTTCATGCTCGTGAAGAACCATCCACAAATGGCAGTGGCACGTCAAGCGTCAAGCAACGAGCAGGTGAAAACAGACTGCTCAAGGTCGGTCATGAAACTGTCGCTGTTGAAGTTGTGCCGACGACATCTCCAGCCTGCTACTGGAAGCAGGCCGATTGTTTCACATCCACCGAACTAGTGGTCAGACACCAAAAAAGACAAAGACCCCCTGTGTAGCCTTAACAGACTGTAGGGGCAAGTGCTGTTTGCGAGCAGCACCTATGAAGGCCGGCATGGCACACGAGGGGGTGGGTGGCCAGCACCACGCCCGGCTGGGTTTGTCTCCCTCGTGGCGATGTTCACACACCGCACCAGGTACTTGACTCTAACATGTGTGTCCTTAATAGAATCATGCTCACAGTGCCATCGAGCCACCTGTTTCCAATGATCTCAACGCGCGCCTTCCAGAACCTTCTCTTGTACAGCCCCCGACAATGACAGTGCGTGTCATGGTGTCTTCGTGCAGTTGCTTTTGATGGGTCTCTGTGTGCGACAGATGCATCGTCGAGTTAAGTTTGTTGTTGCCTGTTTATTGTTAACTGCAACATCGTGTACATCACGTCAGTTACATCTGTTGTCGGTGCAGTGCTGGACATCGGTAGTTGCATAGCTGGGCCACCCTTTGTTCTTGTTGAGGCGGCTGCATTGTGGCTAAAACGCAGTGCACTATGAGGTTGCTACCCCTTAATGCCCACGACCTCTGATTAGTAAGGTTATCTACGTACGGCGCGAAATAAGTTCAACATACTGGTTGGTGACCAACTCCCGAGTTGCGAAAGTATTTGTTTCTTTATTGCTGTTTAAATGACGATAACAACACCAAATACTGAACTGAATAAACACCGATGGCCACATTCACAGCATCCATGCATTGGCTTGTCATAATTGGAGCATAACGTTTGTTTTATATAATTTCTATGTATTTCACACCTGGAGTGTGTCTAGGTCTACAAATCATGCAGCATCATCTATTTGAAATGGAGTAAACAAATAACCGATGCACGCTCATTTTAAATATTACACGGTGCAGTATATGCCCTGGCAACTATCAATAATAACCTATAGATTGAATTGTTGAAGCTCTCATACAATGAAAGCCCTAAGGAACTACGAATTGTTATAAATTATATTGGTTTAAAGGTCACATCATAAGTAACCAAATATCCCTGATTATACATGTACAGCTTGTGATCAGCTGGGTTGTAGTTAAGGCTGCTCATCTTTTCCAAGGGCTTCGAAATCACGATGCTCATTAACCTCTCTTGGTTAGTTTTTGTGTCAAATGCAAAGTAGATCTCTTCAGTTTTAAGGCTAGAAGTGCGCGTGAGGTACAGGACTCCACACACCACGAAGCCATTGCTAACTGAGGGTTTGTACTGCGTGGTGGTCCAGCTGCTGATAACAGCAAGGGAAGTATCATTAAGTAAAGCAAGGGACAACTTCCCATCAACAGAGTAAATGACCCACAGACCTTGTTCATCCACAGAGAAATCCATATCAGTATAGGTAGAGCCCAGGTAAGGATACAAATTGCTTCCTGACGCTTGGGGGAGATTTACTCTGGTAATAGTGGAGGCTGTCAGGTTATATTTGCAAATAGAGACACCAGTAGAGCATCTGTAAAACATGTGATTTTTGTACATCACTGCATCCATTCCATAACCACAATCAGATCCACAAGAAAGGGTCTTTTGTTCCATCTGCACATACGTCTGCAGTGCCCGGTAGTTAGCAAACATCTGAATCACAGTAAAGTAAACCTGATTGCTGGTTATCACCCAGTACACATCCTCACGTCCCTTCAGTGGGAGTGGATCTTTCCCAAATGCACCATATTGGAACGCTGCACCTTGCATGTTCAGAATGTGAATATATGGTGCGCTGACGTTCTGCAAGCCACCGTGCACGCATGAGCCTGGAAAGAAACACACACTTTAGAAAATGTTTTTAACGTTTCCATGAGGAGAAAAATTTCATTGAAATTTCTAATTATGATTTTAAAATGATCAAACACGTAAACTGTTTTATGAATACAAATATACAACTTAAATCTCAGTCGCCACCACAGGAATTGGTAATGTCCATCACGACCAATGGATGCGTGTAACACCAGAATTGTTTAGTCAGGGCCACACAAGAACTTACTACATTAACTTTTAAAAATATTTCCAGGGTAATCCACTTATATACACTCCATTGAAGTAATAGGGAGACATTTTAGACACACAAATACTATACTGCTCCTCTGAGAGGGTTTTTGGTCGTCATCACGTAGCCACCCCACCCCGACTGCTTCCACCCACCCATACCCACTGGTGTCCCCGGTCACCACTACCACTGCTGTGCACCTCCCTTCCACAACCTCCACCCCTACCTCTACAAGTCCCTGGTCACTACCACTGCTTTGTGCACAATTCCCCATACCCTCCACAACCCTCACCACCACCCAAACAAGTTCAACCCTGTGTCTGGAAGAAGAGGTGGGGGGGGGGGGGGAGAACCTAAACAGAAAGACGTGGAGGGGGGTCTAAAGAAGGGTGGGTCCTCAAAAGGGAAGGTATAGGATGGGACTCCAAGCAAAAAGAGGCAGGGTAAATTTTGACTTTAAACTTTCGTGACTGCAGGAATTAATATTCTTTCGGTAAAGTCACGCGTGTTGCGGTCTTCATCAGCTGATGAAGACCGCTTGTGTTGCGATCGAAACGTCGTGGGTTTTTTGCTTTCATTTTTATTTTATTTTTAATTTAATTTTAAATTTAATTGATTCGCCTCTACGGGGAGGATTTCCACACAACAATAACTTCAACCGAGAAGATGGATGCAAAATTGAGCAATCTTTGGAAGGACGTTGATCAACCAGGTAAAATGTTAACTGTTGTGTTAGCCGACTCTCTGAGTTGCATTACATTTCTAAATTGTGTTAAGTTTGATATCTAAGCTTCCTTTTCATTTTTTCTCTCTCTCACCTTAGCCCTCTTTGAATTTCACTCCCACCCTCTCGTCCGTTACGGCCTCCCCTCCCTCCCTCCCCTCTCTCGGATCTATATAATGCCTCGTCACAATGGCATGCTTCTCTCTCTCACCTGAAGACGATTGCTTGTTGTTGCGATCGAAACGTCGTGATCTATGATTTATTTTCCTATCTACGTGACTTTACCGAAAGAACCAAAGAGTATGAATTACTGCAGTCACAAAAGCTTCAAATCAAGATACATTTTATCATTTTTATTTTATATCTACGTGACTTTACCGAAAGAACCAAGAATAAGGGGCAGGGTCGAAAGGTGAGAGGGCAGGGCCAAAAGGAAAATGGTGTTCAAGAAGGGGTGGGGTCTCAAGTGAAAAGGGGAGGGCCTAAATAGAAGGGGGCGGAGCCAATAGAGGAAGGGGCAGGCCACAACGGAAGTGGGCGGTTTGTAAATACGAAGGGGCAGGGCTTGAAGAGGAAGCCCAAGTGAGTGATCTCCAATTAAAACAGGGCCCAAAAAACAGCAAACCCACATATCTCAACAAAAATCAGAGTTAAAAGAAAAAAACAATTCCGCATGAACCATGAACTTCCCTCGTGATATGTGCAGCAGGAAAGCAAACATGTCGCAGATGCGGTCACAGACCAACTGGTTTTGTTTTAAATCCACTATAAAGTAGTGGAGGCTCCTCCCTCACTTTGGGCATTACAAAAGTGATACAATAATTGGCATTTATATGGCGGAGCATATCAAAATAATAGACCAACTAATACACGAAAATGTTTAATGTTGATGCGGTGTGCAGCGCATTACAAGGGGAATCGGCAGCGCGATTCTACTAATCTGGAAAAAAGCTGCAGATTACAGAGGAAGCATGACACGTGACTAGTAGCTAAGGTAACTTGCAGTAAATGTGAGGATTATGAGGTTTCAAATTTTTCTAATTCCCAAGAAGTGCAATCTGCCATTTGGGGTCGATATTGAGGAATTTTGCAGTAAAAGAAAAATCCAATACAAGTAAAAAAATATGCAAACATTATTTTCTATTAAGCGCAACTAGGATGTGCAGATGCAACAAACAAATGCAAAGTAAAAAAAGAGCTTAACTCAGAATTTCCAAACAGCTCGACTCCTGCAGTTCTGAAGAACCATGGCCACATCTAATGTTTGTGGTTAGCTGTCCACGAAGTGGAATCAATCTGCCACGGTGTGCCACGGATTGCAGGAAAGGTTGCGAACAGCCAATAATCCGCAAATTATAGGGATTTACGGATTATGGCATCGCAGATTATTGTATTTCTGCTGTATTTGAGTTGCACTTGTATTGCACTTAACCCTACCCCTATCTACTGCAGTGGACGTATAGGTTGAAGAGAACCACTGATATATGGAGCTCACCTATGGGGGGCTGCTGGCCAGGATTGCTGCCGGGGGGCTGGCCAGCATTAGAGGCCTCCTCTTGGCAGTCCTGCAGCTGCTTGCGCAGAGTGTCCACCTGGCGTCGGATGAGCAGCACGTTGTTCCTGTCGTAGCTCTCCAGCGTGTTCACCACCACGCTGACGTTCTGGATCTGTTGACCAGGATGGAGTTATAATACATTGCGTCATAAGTGTTACAAACGAAAACTTTTATATTTATATACGCCAGAATTCTTAAATGAGTGATGTGAATATTTCAGGACTTCTGTTTGCAAAGTAGAAGCACTTCTAAAATATTGTTGCACGTGACAATTAACTGTAGGGGAAGGGCTACCAAATGTCTGGGAGACTAAAATGGGACATGTGCTGAGCTGGTAGGGCCCTCCCTCCATCAGCCCCACCCACTTTTACATGGCCACGCCCACTCACTCACTATTACCCCCCATAAAGTTGTTTTTCCTCGCTCTGTCTGACATTTGCCCTGCCTACTGCTCTGCCATGTGAGAACTGGAGTGCCAGGAGAACAACCCTCACAAAGCAATTAACATCAACATTGTATCCACATAAGCCATATTCACGTGGTGCCTTATTTTACGGCAGAAGCAGTGAACTTTAATTCCAGTCCAGATATATTTTCTATTGAGCTGCCTGCATATGTCTTCACGTGAAACTGCTAAATTCACCGCTACATAGCAAGTTGTGTTATGAGTTGCTGCACTGAACATTTACAACAATGAATAGTTAGTATTAGGGTTCTTTCTCTGAAGGAAAATTACTATTCATATATATGCACAATTACATTTGTATAATCAATTATTAATATGTTCATGTTTCTTTAAAAACACACTTCATTCGGGGGAAAAAATGCTTAAAATGATAACCTCAGGTAGCTTTAACAAAGTATTTTGAATTTTGATTTAAAGCTTTCGTGACTGCAGGGATTCATATTCTTGGTTCTTTCGGTAAAGTCACGTAGAAGGGAAACAATAAAATAATAAAAATTATAAAACAATAAAATTATCATGACGTTTTCGACTGCAACACAAGCGATCATCATCTGATGATCATTAGATCATCGTCGAAACGTCGTGAGAATTTTATTGTTTTAGATTTTTATTATTTCATTGTTTCCCTTCTACGTGACTTTACCGAAAGAACCAAGAATATAAAGTATTTTGATTTAAAATCTTGTTTCGTTTTCATAACCTACCCATTTCTTGTATATCATACAGTAAACATGATATTCACTTTTTTTTCAAATGTGAATGGTGAATAATACTTGGAAACTGCAACCCTTTAACCCCCCTCATACATCCAGGACCCCAAGGCCCAGTGACCCTGGGACCCACATCGTCAAATTACATGAGAACTCCATTAACTAACATGCTCATGTCTTTATACTGCCACGTGTTAGCCACTTGCCTACCCCTCTTGTGTTCATTAAAATAGGAACTCCCAACCCTGTGAAATTCCAACAATAGGCTCTGTAATTAAGCACGTGTATAACCTGTAATGGCGGGCAGTATGTTTATTGAAGAAAGTGCACATGTGTGGAACACGTACATAAATATCCAAGAGTACTGAAACCCTTTTCTACACCCTAATAGCAATTAGACAAAGGACATTAAAACATTATCTCCAGGACAGCAGTGAAGTAATAAACCATTGTGATTTAACATAGTAACAATTCCTCATCCCTTTGCAAGCAATTTCGCTAAGGAAGGCCATTTAATATCCGAGTGATTTATGCACCGTTTCTGTTTCCATTCTCTTACCCTCCGACTCACCAGCCCTCAATGACCAGGGTGGTGAAGTATGGTTTGGAAATGATCGAACAACCCCCATGACCAGAGTGGAATGACAAAGGGCTGTAATTTTTTGTATGTGTTTTTTTTTACACATTTTCACAAGCATTACCATAACACAACACCCCTGATGGAAACAATTGCATGCCTTTGTGACAATCGTGACTCACCGAGAGGTGGAGACGATCGAGCGTGGCGCTGGAGACCTCCAGCTTCAGTTGCTGCACCAGCTGCTCCATCCCCCGGATCTCCACCCGCAGCAACTCAAAGTCCAGCTCTGTGTAGCGGTCATGGCCCTGCTCCATTCGCTCCACGCGCACCGTCAGGTTCCGCAGCAGCGCTGTGTAGCGCACCAGCGTGGCGTGGTTCTCTGCCACCTGTAGGCGTAGTTTGAAGATTACCTCCTTCCAACGCATTTCAATCGGTCTTTTACACGTGTTGACTTAATAAACCATTTGTATTAAATGTACGGGACTGTTGTTGGCAGTGCTGTAGTCATATATATAAATTTAGCATGACTATAACAGCATGGTTGGCTAAGGTACGGTGCGAAAGAAGTTCAACATACATACAATAAAAGGTTGATTCGTCAAGGAATCTTTGAGGACAGATTAATACCGGGGTGTTATCAAATACTGCCCTGGGCTCCCACAAATATATGAATTGCTTTAGAATGGCTGAAATACAACACTACAGCGCAATGATGAGCCCTAGAAACAATTTAGTCATCACAGCCAAATCCTCAATGGCTATTACTCACAGGAATTTAGTTTTCCTAATTTAAACTTTGATTTAGCTCTACAAACCACATTCTATTTTATGTGTACCTGTGGTTAAATCATGAGCCTGCATGCTTATATTAGGTTTGAGAATTGCGCGAGTTATTTACTTGCTTGCTTTTAGCTCTGTAAAGCACCTTGCGACCTCTGGGTGAAACGCGCTTTACTAGTGTCAATTATTATTGTTAAAAACCCATGACTGAATTAACCGGGATGAATAACAATGGAGAGGTTGACATCGGCTATGGGTGTTGACAAAACATGAGTTTGGAAGAAATGGAACATAAAGAGAGATGCCCCTAAAGCTGTAGCAGCAAACCTGGGCCCCCGTCAAGCTTCATCCTGCCCTGCTTGGGGAAATACTGTCGTGCCCTCTGCAGTGTGAAACGGGTGACTGATCATTTCCAAAGAGTGTACGGGATTTTTTCGGCCTGCAATTATGGTCTTCTGCAGGGATTCCAGGAATTGTCATCACAAAATGACGACTCAATTCAACAATACATTATTTTAGCATTGTGGTGCATGGAGAATCACTAATGGTTGCATAGAAAGTCCGTCACGGTGTTCCGAAGCATTCATGAACTGATAACCTTCCAGAAAGTGACGATACAAGGGTGTATAGTATTTTCGAGGCATACAAGAAACATTTATTTTCATTTTACCAGGTAAAGGACAACTGAGCTAAATAGCTCTTTTTTTCAGAAGCGACGTGGCCATCACAAATGATAGCTCAACCCAGTGGCTTATCATCATGTGGAAATTTATGGAAGCCAAATACTCAAAACGGATGTTTATAAATGTAGAGGCAAAAAACAGAGGACTCAGAGAAAAATCCATGCCACCACGGGGAAAACATGCAAACTCCAAATATACGGGCGTCAGGGTCGGGCTCGAACCCACGGCCTCCAGTATACCAGCCGAGGTAGTTAACATCTCAGCACTGTGGCGCCCGACACATGAAATCCTCATGCCTTACTATCCAAACTGTTTTTTTTTCATCCTAATTAAATAATGAGCTGCATACTTTATTCAGTGTTTAATTTAATATATTATGCAGATTGTTATTTTTTATGACTGTGATGTTAAATTTCATATTGGTGTAATCGATTCTTTGTTTTTTTGTTCGATTTGCGAAGTGACCTGGATGTTTTCATCCCGGACACCTTGCGAATTAGACAATGTTTCGTGTTATCCATAATAAAGGTTTTTCGGGTTAGATCGCGTTGATATAAATTTGTCATTAAACCCGCTACCACTAAACATAAACAAAACATTCCAATTCATTACAAGTTCAGCACACCGGTGTGTTGGAGAGTAACCCCACAACATTTACAATTCGAGTACAACGTTTCGCCGGTAGTTAATGTTTCGTGTTGATTTCCACGTGTGTTGTTGGGCTGAATGTTTTCAGGCTGGAACGCATCTTGTTTGGCATGTCAAACCTTTTTCACCATATATGGTGGGCTTCTAGAATTAAATTCCTGAATATGCTAGCAACACGTGGAGCAAAACGTCAGACATCATGCAGAACACGTGGTACGACCTGAAAACACATCGGAGAGCTATGCAAGCACCACCATGAAAACCTATACCGTCATGTTTCATGTTGGCTTAATGGGCAATGTTTAAACTCCTGGTGAAATAAGAAGAGGTCACCTTCTGTGACTCCACCGTGACGGCCGTGGCAATCGTCTGGGTGCTGAGCTGCAGCTGCTCCACCGTGTTGGCCGGGAAGACGGGGTCCGGCAGATAGACGTTACACACGCACTGGCCCTCCGCATCCCGGGAGCCGTTAGTGTAGGCGCCAGGGACCAGCTTTGAAGCGAAGATCACAACGTGAAAGCACATCACACTCGCATATTTTAAACATCACAATTGCATATCCACCGTAATATTTAAAGAGGTATTGTTCCCAAAGTTTATACAAAATTAATTAAGTTTGCTTTGTAGACTACAAGACCACGAGAGATGGAGATGGCTTGGGGAAGCCTTCATCCAGCAGTGGATAGATCATGTCTGATGGATATTATACACGTAGAATGCCAGATATGTCATCATTAGCTATTAGCCATCGTTCATCCAGAAAGTTTTAAGGAAACCCGCGCTTAACATCAACAAGGTCTATTCTAACACACAGCAGCACCAATTCCAGTATATATCTTATTATAGTTGTGGTTACTTGTCAAATGCCTACTCCAGTCGACCAGTCAGACATTGAGCCTGGCCTGCAACAGCGCGCATAGCTTACATAAGTGGAGCAAGCGAGCTCCTGGAGGAGAAGACCGAGGACGATGCTGAGCAGTGCCTTCATCGTGACTGCTGGATGAGCTACAACTGTAGTAGTGTCCAGGTGCTCTGGTCTCGTATTTATCAGAGTGCCACTCCCATGCCACGCAAACACCCTTTGTTCTCTGTGTAGTGGCAGCCGTCACGGGGGAATTACCCCATGGAAAAAAAAACCATTGAGGTCTAAATGAGTGCTGGGGAAATCCACATTTAAAACAAATGGGAGATAAGTTAATGTTTACCTACGTCCTTTTTGTTCCCCAGGGTGATTCATCGTATGTTTGCCAGTCTCTACGAAATGCCCCCAGAAAGTAATACTCAATCTGGTTAAAGAACACAATGCTGTTTGTTCAGTCTTAATTTAATCATTTGAGTCTGTTTACTTTTTAGAGACTGTGTAATGACTCTCTTTACTTTCTATTTGAGGACAAACTGCACAATGAGCAGTTAAAAAAAATCCTCTTCCCCTTGCCATGAAGTTGGGTGGAAATTCCATGCCAAGTTATACTTTCCATTACTTCCTAGAAACCTTAAATGTATATTCCATGGGCCTCCATGGGCTTCCATGGAACTCCAGGATGTGTAACCTGTATCATGCATATCGTCAGTCATGATCTATCCACTGCTTGATGAAGGCCTTTCCAAGACGCCATCTCTTCATGGCCCTACTATGCAACAATATGTCTAGCTCCTGCACTTGAGCATATTTCATCGCTTCTATCTATGCGGAAGCTAGTGGGACTTAATCTGAATGATGAATGAAATAGGTAAATGTCAATGATTGAAATTCAATCATCCAATCTTTAATACTGTAATACAAAACACTGGATACATTCATCTTTGTATAGTAATACACATAGTAATTGTAAATTATTTTTTTACTGAAAATATAAGCGTATTAAATATTATGGCCATATATAAATAAATCAATAAGATATGATAATAACAATACATATTAAGTGATTTTATGGTTGAACAACCGCAATGACAAGCATTCCAGAACAAAATAATTCAACATTACAAACAGTATTGTAAAATGAGACATACAATAATGTTTGATCCAATAATGATCAAAATAATAATCGGATCCAAGAATAATCGTGACAATTCATCATATTTGCATGGGACATGCCTCGTGATTAGTGATGTGACATTAATAGGCACCTTTATTTAACAAGGGGTTCTTCGACTGGTGGGGCGTAGACCGGCCCACCAAGCTATGACCCTGTTAAGAAATGTGGCTCATTGAGATGTAGAGAGATACAGATTTGTGAGATGAAAGAGATATGAACAAGAGAAAGAGGCGAGAGAGCTGCAGACATGAGGTTATATTTCATGAGATGAGAACAAGATAGACAAGAGAGATACATGGAAACAAAAGTTACACATTAGTAGTAATATTCTATGAGCGTTATGATGCTACTACTCCAGGTAACGTAATATACACAGCACACACACACACATGTTTCACTGCAAGGTTCAAATTCGCTTGTTTATGGGACTCACCAATGGAAGACTGGCCCGCCACGTTGCTGGGGTGCTGGATTGGCTTGTTTCTGCGGGGCTGCGTTGGGTTATTGCTGGGGGGCTGGGATTGCGTTCTGCTGGGTAGCCGCATTGTAGTGTTGGTCTCTTCCTGACAGTTCTCCAGGCGCTTGCGCAGAGTGTCCACCTGGCGCCGGATGAGCAGCACGTTGTTCCTGTCGTAGACCTCCAGCGTCTTCACCACCACGCTGACGTTCTGGATCTGTAGACAAGGACATCATTAATGCACCACACGTCATTACAATGTTCTCACATTTTTATTCATGTTGAACATCAACACCATAGTTTTACATTGCAACAAATACTCTGATGTGTACCATGTTTGTATGTGATAAAAGAGCATGACAGTCTAGTTTTTTCTTTCGTTTACAAACCATTGGCATAATTCAACCAATAAATTATAATGGGATATAAGGCCTTGCCATTCCTCACGGTCCTGCTATACCACGATTCATCTCACTCCTGTACTTGAACTTTTTTCATCGCACCAACTCTTAGGTGGTCATACTTGTGTGTTCTGTTGGTTGCCCAGTGTGACATAATTGACTGCGCAAGTGACAGCCAGAGAGCTAGGCCACGCACAGTGCCGATCATCTTCATCACCACCACCATCCTATGAACATCTTTATTACTGTCAACATCGTTATCATCACCACCATCACCGGCAACATTAGAGACTGAGGTAGCGCACGGCGGGAGATGTTGCTCAAGCCCAGTGAGATGCTAGACAGAAATGGTGCACATCATTAACATAAACAGCGTGAACCTTCATCAATTCATCATAATCATTCACCTTAATTACGAACTGGCCACATATGAAAGGAATAATCTATTCTATAATGAAAATGTATTTCCACGAGTGGACATGGAAAACAAAAGTGGCAGATAATAAGGTTCATACTATCCAGACACAAGATGATATCAATGAGGGATATAATATTCAGTGAACAATTCCTGGCAGTGTAGTGGAGCTAATTAAGCAATTTTTTTAAACAAGAAGGAATCACAATATCACAGCAGAATCATTGCGACATCAGACAGAAGGAAAAAAAAACACCTCAAAGAGTGGCGATTGCTGAGTTGTAAAATCATTGGGAAGTTAAATAGAGAAGTGAAACTGCTAAAACCTGGTAATAATGGATGAGTCTGAGCTGCGATAATACAATAATATTCACGTGGGATACATTACTGGCGTGAATATTATGTCCGTGAATATTGCTACTTGAAGCTTATCAGGAAAATTAGGTTGGGTATAAAAATATATTACGTTTAAACATAAACATGTGTATCTATTGTATGTATGTTGGACTTCTTTTGCACTGTACATAGCCAATCGTGCTAATCTGAGGTGCGGGAGAAGGACAACAAACTAAACACAAAAAGCAGTTCTAAAGAAATTAGTTTGTCAATCTAGATGATTTAAAAGTGCATAGGTCCAGTGGCTTCCTAATATCGGAAAGAAGAGCGTTCCAGACGGCCGCAGTAGTACATCCGAAAGCACACAATGCGGTGACCGTCTTTAGTTAGAAAATTAATGCACATATTGTATAGTATTACTGTGTTAATTAACTTACCTTGAATAAGGATGAATATAAATATATTTAAAAGTGCAAATATCGATGAAAACATAAATTAATATTATACATTTCCAAATTGTTTTCCAAAAAATGCAAAGGAAAGCACTCGCGTGTCAAACTACGGCAGACAAGGGCAGAGTGAGAGGGAGAAGCGGCGTCGTGGGGGCAACTTCTGCACTCCCATGCCTCACGACTCCTTGTCAACTTGTCACGAGCTACGGCCGCGAAGATTCAAAATGTAACCCCGCGAATTTCAAACAGCGCTACGATAGATTCGTCGCGGATTACGCAAAACCACAATTGTGTCTCCTGTGAATATTAAGGGTTTACTGTGTGGCAGAAATGTTGAAATAAGTGGACTAAATAATGTTTAAAAAGACATTATAGACAAGGAAAGTGTTGGCAAATGTCTGGAAACAGCTGTTATTATACGACGTAAAAAAGAAAAGACTAGCTCTTATAGATCATGGGTGGGAAACATTTTTTCCTTACTGAGGGCCAAATAGGACCTTTGACAGGTCACAAAAGAGTTGACACTAAACGTTAAATGCGCGAGGACTGTGCGACTGACCGAGAGGTGGAGATGATCGAGCGTGGCGCTGGAGACCTCCAGCTTCAGCTGCTGCACCAGCTGCTCCATCTCCCTGATTTCCACCCGCAGCAGCTCAAAGTCCAGCTCTGTGTAGCGGTCATGGCCCTGCTCCATTCGCTCCACGCGCACCGTCAGGTTCCGCAGCAGCGCCGTGTAGCGCACCAGCGTGGCGTGGTTCTCTGCCACCTGCAGGCGAAATTTGAATATTATATCCTTCCAACGCATTTTAATCGATCTTTTACACATGTTCACTTAACAAACAACGATTTATATGAAATGCATGGGACTGTGTTGTTGGCAGTGCTGTAGACTTTCCTGTTTATTTGCTTCTACTGCTCTGGAGTAGAGAAAGTGCCCATAAACTCTGGCAAGTTTGCGATTGTAGTAAGATTCGAAACGGCGAAAGAGAAACGGTATACAAATTTAAAGAAAATACTTGTTCTTATCCCAGATTTCAATCCACAACTGGGAACTCGACTTTAGAATTCAGTTGGTGAAGGAGCTCCCAGCATGTGAAACTAAACCACAGACATTGAGCCGAACAGCACGTGGCACAGCCTCAGAACACATCAGAGGCCTCTACAACACTACAGGCATGAATACAAACGCAGTGACATTTCATGTTGTCTTAAATAGGCTATTTCCCATATCCTGGTGAATCATGAAGAGGTCACCTTCTGTGACTCGAGCGTGACGGCCGTTGCGAGCGTCTGAGTACGGAGCTGCAGCTGCTCCACCGCGTTGGCCGGGAAGATAGGGTCCGGCAGATAGACGTGACACACGCACTGGCCTTCCGCATCTCGGGAACCGTTAGTGTAGGCGCCAGTGATCAGCTTTCAAGAGAAGATCACAACATGAAATAATTATTTAACGAGATATTTATTTCTTAATTGAACATGTTCATGCTTCACGTATATAACATGAGTTATTATGAAATTTTGTCAATCCACTGCTGGTCGAAGGCCTCATGCCATGGTGGTTATGGTAGCTGTTCCTTACATTGTGGGTTTGGTGATACAAGTGTAGTGTAATAGCGCCGGCTGGTGACCAGCAGCGGCAACTGCGGTGGACAAACAGTACACACGCCGGTGAGCATATACACGGGTGTGTCGGCAGGGTGGAGGACAACGGTCATGGAGGGCCCTACCTGGAAGCCCCTGGAACCTGCTCGTGGGTAAGAGAAGGGAGCCACAGGCAGGGCAGAGCCAGGCCGCGCAGGTAGCATAAAAGGGGCCGAGAGGTGGAGCTCGAGGCTGCCGGTTCTGGGATTGGATCGTCTCGTCATTGCTGTTGTCTCGTCGCCATCGTCGCTGTTGTATTCACTCGATATTGCAGTGCTAGATAGTTGTTGGCTGTCTCCGTCAGCACCTTTGCTGT